GAAAACAGGCAAACTTGTTAACACCAGAGTTTTTCCCAGGCATCTCTTCGGGGGGGGGGGGGGGGGGGCGAAAAAAATGCTACCCTCTCCCCGAACGAAATGGAAATTATATAGAAAATATATAAATTTAACAGTGTCCGACCCCCCCCCCCCCCCCGAAGAAAGTCTACCGCCCCCCGAAAATTTCAAGTGCCCCCCCCCCCCCCCTCCGGAGAAAAAAGTCTGGAAGAAACACTGGTTAACATGGAAAATAATGGGCAACATCTGTAACACAAGGAAGAAAAGACAATCTTATGGGCAAAGAAAAGATAGACCCCATTTTAATCGAAGATCAAATAATACGTGCCGCATAATGGGGAATGATTTTACAAAAAAAAAAAAAAAAGTAAAGAAAAAAAATAATCCTCATTTAGACCAAAAGATACATTGGGCAGATGAAGTAGAGTTCATAATATGTTACTTGACCTTGGCATATTAAAGGAATGAGTGGTCAGCATTTTGCCCGGTTCCATGACAAATTATCTCAGGACAAATGATCTCAGACAAAATATCTCAAGGACAAATGATCTCAAGGACAAATGATCTCAAGGACAAATGATCTCAGGACAAATGATCTCAAGGACAAATGATCTCAAGGACAAATGATCTCACGGACAAATGATACCAAGACAAAACATATCAGGACAAATGATACCATGGACAAATGATCTCAGACAAAATATCTCACAGCAAAATTTTAATAGTGTATTGGATGATTTTAGTTGATTTGAACTTTTTTTTTAATTAAATGTCAATATAGTTTTGTTTACTTTTTAACGCATAATAAATGTGAATAAAATGAATTTGATTAACTGAACAAAGCATCAAATGGTTTATGAAACTTTATCTTTGTAATAGCATTTGATTTGAAAAAGTAAAAATTAAAACAAACTTACTCCTTTAGCCTGAAAGGTATAATAAATGATAATGTATAAAACAAATAAAATAACATTAATGATCAGAACACGCTAAATATTTTTGAAAAATGTGAATGGGTCTTCAGGTTCGTAACGTAACACTATTGTTTTTATTGCAGCATCAACTCAAATATAACGTTTACGTTTATTTGCTGGTAGGTACATCGTTATGATCACACCTCTTCAATACTATGTGATCATCTATTGTGTTAACTCTAGCTCGACATGTTCTACCCTCACATTTCAAAATCTCTTTGACTGCTGCTCCACTTCTGGCTTTAATAAACAAATTCACCAGAAACTAAGGACCTAAAACATTTCTGCTAGGTAACTTATGAGGCCATAGCCGAGTAAGCACTACCAATATTGCTTTGTTTTCATGCACAGTAAAACAAACTTAGCTCCGCGATGACCGCTGATTGTTTAAATAAGCATTTGTCACCTGATCACTAAGGTGTGACCGACGCATAACAATGGACCTTGAATGCTAGTTGTATTGTCCATGGAGGGCGGTTGTCTTTCCCTAAAGGCAAGTCTCTACTATAAAAGCGGGCGGCCACCTTGATACGAAGGTTTGCCTTGTTGTTATTTCATCCCCTTTGATCTAGTTTCGTCCATCTTACGTGGTAGCATTGTCTCATGTTTGTCAATCCCCCTACGCTATCTATCAAAAAAAATTCTTTAATCTTCGCATACTATATTAGAAATCTCAAGTTTAAAATGTTTTGTACAATATGACAAATTTATACTGTAAACATTTCTCACAATTATTATATAGGCCTATAAACAATATTAAACATAGTAAACAAAAACATTTGTCAGTCAATAAAAAAATGTTCAGAACATGGTAGGATTGTCTCAAATTTGGCCAGCTCATCTATCAAAAAAATGTCTTTAATCTTCACATACTAAATTAGTAATCTTGGTTTTAAATGTTTAGTGCAATATGACACATTTTTGTGGTAAACAATTTTTAAAATCATTATATAGGCCTATAAACATTATTCAATATGGTACACAATACCATACGACAGTCAATAAAAAATGTTCCGATCAACTAAATCATCCAATACACTATTTAAATTTTGCTGTGAGATATTTTGTCTGAGATATTTTGTCTGAGATCATTTGTCCATGGTATCATTTGTCCTGATATGTTGTGTCTTGGTATCATTTGTCCGTGAGATCATTTGTCCTTGAGATCATTTGTCCTGAGATCATTTGTCCTGAGATCATTTGTCCTGAGATCATTTGTCCGTGAGATATTTTGTCAGAGATATTTTGTCTGAGATCATTTGTCCTGAGATCATTTGTCCTGTCACCTTTTACCCAGTCGCCTTTACTTTCCCTAACGTGAGTTAGGTACCCATCAGAGTTGTTTGGATTTAGGGACGTTCTACTGACTTTTACCTGGATTCGAACTCGAGACTTTCGGGTTAGCTCTACAGCATAGGCCGCGCCGTCCCATTTTTTTTTTAAATTTTATTTTACAAAAAGTCTGCCTTGTTTTATTTTGATTTAAACTACTCAGTATGTATACCCCGACTATAGAACTACGTTTTATTTTAAATTCGATGTTGATCTTTATAAAGCAAACTTACCCTGATATAACTGCCCACTTTTACACAAGATGCAGAAACTTAATGGATCATATCGAGCAACCTAACTGCTGTATTTATCTGACTGTGTGATACTGCAACTAACATTATGGATGCCACTATTATGGATGTCACTTTAGTGCCCTGACCTACAGTTTTATTTTCTGTTTCGTTATCTTTTTCCAAGAAGTTTTAAAATCTCCTTGACATATGCACATTTTACAGTCATACGTCACGGCGTCACCTGCCTACTCGTGCTTTCTCCATGATAACTAATTTTTATGATAACATTGTACAACAGAACTGAGAGAAAAATATAATTTAAAAACACCTGCGTATGTTTTACACATTTAAAGCTCATCAAAACTCCAAGATTATTTTTTTTAATACTGTACCATAATGGTGTTATGAAAATTTTATTAAGTTTTAATTAGGAAGACGTTTTGTAGATTGATAGAATACTCTATTAGTTGCCCATAAGTCTGAAGTTCAGACCGATTCTATAAAAGTCACTGAGTCGACTCAGCTCTAATGAGTTCTTGGTTCAAGTAGAAGAATGTTAAGACGACAGGCATGTTGATGAGAGAACGATTTCCATCACTAAAACAATGACTGGCTCCCAAAGTGCATGCAGATAACTAATGCTGTGAGAGCCCTAAATAAAGAGTAAGGTTCAAGGTCAGAACTGGAGCTACACAAGGCCGTATCATCACAACTGTCATCTTCATGACATGTTTATTTGTTGAACTATGTTAGTATTTATTTTTCTTATCATTTCCAAGACGTATTAAAACCCACGAGGGTCTACATCTTGCTATAAATGCGTCAAAACACATCAGAAGAAAGGGGTCGCCTTAGTCGGGTTGTTAAACCTCATAGTTGCTAAATCGAACATTCGCGAGATCGAAACCCCAGGCAGATGAGGCTCAATAGCTGGGGACAGTAACTCATCCAGGAGAGACAACTCAAAAATCAAGCAACTGCTGCCTTGTAGTTTGTTCTGAGACAAGGGCTGAGAAAGCAAATCCAAAAAGCAGGCTGAAATTGGAGTCAATGGCATATATGGGGCTTAATAAGTTGACACGTAGTTGTCTTAGGGAATATCCCGTCCAATTCAGAACAAAGAAGAAAGACGAACAGAAAAAGACTAAGTGCCTACATCGATTAATTACAGACACGTCAAGACACCGTGTTTGCGTGTTGCTATGTGTGTTTGTAACGTGCACCTGCTTGTATGTGCTTGTATGTGGTGCTGTGTTTTGCACCAGGTAACACTGTAATAAAAATACGGCACCACGTAATAAATGCCGCAACACTTCAAGGACAAGGAAGCTCTAACTGATTGCTTTTAACAGAGGATCAAAGGACCTTCAAGAATGGAACTTGAGCTATATGAAATAAAAGGGGGCCTTATTTCTCCACGCACTAGTGCCTTTTATGTATGTCTGATTATGCACACATTGCTTTAGCGAAATACTATTCAAATATGTACACGTGTGCACATTATTTGGATCTCGTCCACAGAAGAAGCCCGGCCAAAAAAAGTTAACCACCGCCACATTAAAAAATAAAATACGAAAAAAATTATACGAAAGAGGATATTATGAAACTTGTATTTTTAGTTTTTAACCCTAATCCAACCCTAGCCCAAACTATATCCTTAGCCCTAACCGTAGAGGTAGATAAGGAGTTGATTTTATGGCGTGCGTTTAAATATTTATGTGCTGACACCAGAAATAGGTCAAGGTTGCGTCTGTGCATTAAATTGTCCGGGCAAGAAGTGGCGGGGCATAACTTTTTACCCGTGCAATTTTTGCATTAGTGGCAGGGGTTGTCTACAGAGGCGTAGCGAGGGGGGGTGGGTGGGGCGGGGGGACATATGTCCCCGGCCGCCGACCTTAGGGGGGGGTGTAAATCGAAAGTTTAAGGGGAGGGGGGGGTGTAAATGAAAAGTTCGAGGAGGGGGGGGGGTGCAAATCGAAAGTTTGTCCCCGGGCGCCGGGAAGGGTCGCTACGCCTCTGGTTGTCTAGTCAAGATTCCATTATTTGAAAGACTTACGTGCTGTAGTGTAGGCTAATATTTTTTCAACCTAAATCAGTTCTTGTAAATATGCATAGGAGTCGTCTATCAAAAACGTCAAGTTTTTTAACAAATATTTAATCCCCCCTCCCCCTCCACTTGTCACATATTGTCTCACAAATCCGAATTTAACCCCCCCCCCTCCCTTCCACCTTTCTCCCCCCCCCCCCCAGCCGTTCCAAATGTGACGTCTTTATAAATGACCTCTATCCATATATCGAATTCTACATTGCAACAAATACACATTTCATATAATTTCAGTTAATCATAAATTATAACACAAAAGTATATATAATTAGAGGTAATCATTAATAATGACACAGTCAGTATATTTTTTGCACAGCGAGTGTAAACATGTTAACTTACCTTGTCTGAGTTTAAACTGTTTCTCTAGCGTCCTCCCGCGCAAATCGAAACTGAAACACTCCATAACCTGCAGCCATTGTGATCCCTTACTAACTTTTCTTGACGCTAATAACCGTTTACAAACGTTTTCTTCAACAATGAATTAAAACAGCGAGCGTTTAACAACATAACACTTTGAAATACTGGAGAAGGTAGTTTATGTGTAAACCGCAACCCGCTTTGTTAACAAGTAATATTTTTTCTTAGAAAAGCAAAGTAGGTCAAAGTTTTTAGGCTACTGGGAAAAGACTTAATTATTATACCTATAGGCCTACTTGAATCGTGCAACGGCATCGCTAAACGGACGAAGTGGGAGGTGGGGGGTGGGGGGGGGGGTGGTCTATGCTATACATCGAAACAATATTATATTATAATTTTTTATCATTACATAGGCCTTTACTAAAAATAAGAAAATTAACATAATATTTTTTTTTTCGTTGGCTAGAATAGTAAAAGTAAAATAATTGATATAATAATGAAATAGGCCGTTACTCGTTTTTGTGGGCTCATTTAACTGTTTTCTACAACTATTGCGTGTAACCAACATAATAACCATTAAGGGAGAGTGACATTGGCTTTTTTTGCCAATGCCAATGTGAATAACTGTACAAATTAGAGAGAGGGCGCAAAGCTGATAGTTCGCCCCTGGCGCCGGTATTTGGTCGCTACACCTCTGAGCTCATGTGTGTCTTTTTGATCAAATTGAATACTTTTTTTATTTCTTTAGGTTAGAGACATTCCTAAATTTAGAATGATATACATGTTGGCGAAATAAAACCGTTTGTAAATCACTGATTCCTAACAAATAGGACTGTTAAGTAGGTCAAAAACCAGTTCTACGGCTCAATAAAACCTGCATGAGCCATTGAACTGGTTGGTGACCTACTTACAAGCCATATTCCAACCTGCGACAAACACAAGAAATAGACAAACAAACACCGACGTCGAATTTTAATATTCGAACACATTTGACTGAGCGTGCTAAATGTGTTACAGGGTGTACTATGTAATGTATTATCTGATATAATGTATTATCTGATATGGCAGTATTCAATAACATTAATCTTGTTTTTATTTCATAGAATCCGGAATCGGCTAGGCTTTGCTCAGCCATTTATAGCTATATATAAACTGATATGATAACTGAAACATAACTGTGTGTTAAGTATACAAAAATTAGCACTATATATAGCTAAGTTCAAATCAGCAATACGTACACGTTTTCTGGATTCCAACATTCTATATACACATAACCTGTATTTTCCTTGATAACGCGGTTCGTTACACAAACACAAAAACTATAAACATCAGAGTCAAACCATTATACACAAAATCGCTTGTTACTATGTTGTTGCTCGTAATTTTTAAATTCAACTAATTTCAAATAACATTATACCACAAAAAAACAGGGTTTTAATATTTTAATTTAAAGATTTGCTATATACCGCCTATTATTTGAAAATCTTGTACCACTCTGGTTAAGTTATTTTTAAAATCTGAAACCATTCCAGCAACATGTTATCAACATATTTTATTTCCATTAATCCCAATGACTATAGTTCTCAAAATACGTTTTTTGTGTCAACATGGGGATTACCTCCCCCTTTCCAACCATAAATCATATAATTGGTTTGTTCATCAGTAACTCCACCCCCACTTCTCACTAAACTTTTAAAACAAGTAATTAAAAAAAGTCTAGTGACAATTTTAGCGCAATTTCCTTGTGTTATCTAAAAATAGCTCTGTCGTAGCGTAAATCAAGAGCAGGGTTAGTAAAACCATTGGTTAGTTATTAAAACGTTTATTATTAATTTTTTTTTCAGTATTTTACATGTTTTATTTACAATAGAGTAACATGACTAAAAACCATTGCGCGCCCAGCTACCGAACGTGACGTCGCAGCCATTGAACGTGATGGCGCAGCTATTGAACGTGATGACGCGTGTGGTGTGGTTGCATAAAATGCCTACTAATTCGGTCCAAATTTTAATTAATTTAATAAAAAAATTGTGACCAAACGAAAGGATATTTTTGAAAACTTTCTTCGGCAATATTGTTCTAAATTATGGCAGGAATCGATTGGTACATGTTTCAAGTCGCTAAGTGGTCTGGTTGGCGAGATATGGGCAAAAAACTGCATTTTTTCGAGGTTTTTTGGCTTTTCCGGGAAATCCATGAAAGAAACCCGGAATTTTTATGGCCTATGTTCATCCTCGTAACTTGCTTAACATAATTGCTTTTGGAACTAGTCCTCGATATTGCTTCGTTGAGGAGGAGATACGACTTAAAGCTGCGGACACACATCCATCCATCCATTCATCCATCTAGTCCCAGAAAAGACGAGTTAATAAACGCAATTCTCCAGAATGGAAATTGCGCTAAAAAACACATCAAACCCATCTTATTGTAATGTTATTAGCTTAATTAGAAAGAAAAAAAACTTACGTAAATTTAAACTATACTTTTTCCATATTAAAATCTGATGTTAAATTTTTTTTTTACTCATATAGCACGGTACATATAGATTCCACGTAACTAAGATCTACATGCATTTGTTAAGTCCTCTGAATTAATGTAAAGCTTATTTTCAAGAAATAAAAATCTAGATTTCCGTCCCGGTTTGTTTTCATTTCTTGTTCATGACAGCATTTCAAGAAAAAGTATCTATTTTTAGATTCCAGTAATTTCCAAATATGCTGACGTATGTGATTTTCCGGAATCAATGTAATCAATAAAAAATACATACTGTTTAGTAATGTCTCATTGTTTGAACTCTAACCTAGTGTTAAAAAAACAATTAACGTATGATTAATAAATATTACTGTGGTGACTAGCTTGTTTTAGTGATCAAATTGACAAAAAAAAGCCACTTAAGGAAAGGACTTTATATTTAGTCGGTTGAGCTTTGGACTATTTCCCATTTTGAACGATTTCAATTATCTTCCTCTGTATCATATTACATGGTTATACTTAACACAAGTTAGTCGTTAGCTGTAAATAATGACTAATACAAAAAATGGCTTTAACTTTTAAAAAAAAAAATTACATTTACCATTCGCACCCGATGGTAAAAATGTCTATTGAAATAGAGTTTTCCTCTTTCTGTTATCTAAGAATATAAAAGAACGGGTTTTGTCGGCCCAGACATTCTAGTTTCGCCAAATACGAATCGAACCCAAGATTATTGGGTTAGCTGTATTGTTATCTGTCTCCTGACATAGTAGTCACATAGATTTAGTTTTAGATTAATGATAGATGCAATGTGCAACAGATGTAGGTGTATGGTTTAACGTATCTTTCGGCTGACTCCCAAAATTAAAAAAAAAACTCTTTCCCCAACTGCTATCCCTAAAAATGTAACATTCTTTAGCATGTTTCTCTTCCCAAACATACAGTCGCCTTAAGCTAAGATGTTATTAGCTGTCGAGCTAAGCCCAAAGCTGAGTCACCGTTGCTCTTTTTGTTTAAAGTTAAGTTGCCTTTCAAACATGACGGTGTATAGGGCAAGTGAAGTAACGTTCATTCTTTTCTATAACCTCAGCATATAAAGAGATAGTGTGGTCAGCACTATGCCCAGCCGCCTTTACTTTCCCCAACGTAAGTTACGTACCCATCATAGTTGGGTGGACTCAGGGACGGTCTATTGATTCGAACCTGGATTCGAACTCAAGAATTAGCAGTACAGCTCTCTACCTCTAGACCACTCCGTTCCCTGCTCGTTTTGTTGAGTCTCCAACATCTTTCTTATGGACTAACGAAGAAACGTCCACTTGTCTTTACTTTGTGTGTTTTTATTATCAAATAATTTTAGTTAACGATCTTGTATTACTAATAACAAACGTTACTTATATTCTCTTTTTTATTTAATATATATATATATTTAATATATTTTAAACAACTGGCAGCCCCCCCCCCCCCCCGTCATGCTTTTTACCAGTGAATCTGCGAGTTTTCAATGTTTTTTTTTTGTTTTTTGAGCCAGTATTATTAGCATTGACTGATTGTTTTTTTTTAAACTAAAATATTAATTGTACATTTGTCAAGAATGGAAAAAATAAATTTGAATATCGGTATTTTTTTAGATTATTGGAAATTATAAAATTACTAATTGAATATTGAATTGCATATGGTTCTGATTTATAAAGTTTTGCCTGTAACTGTAAATATTAGAAAGAGTTTAGAAAATAACAAACCGAAATAGCTTTCTAGCCTAAGGGAAATAACCACATTTGCTTTTACTTTCGGTAATTTAGATTGTATTACATGTAATTTAATGTTGGATAGATAGATAAATCTTATTTCAAATCTTACATACCATACAACTACCACAAAGTAAACAAAAACCTAAAGACAACCGCCTCTTACGTGGCGGTCTATAAGTCAGGTGAAGTAGAGCTCATCTCTTTCCAAAACGAGCCATAGAATAGAGAATGTGATCAGCTCTATCAGCAAAACAGTATTTACTGTTCCTAACGTGAGTCAGGTATCCGTAAGTGCTGGGGAGACTGTCGAACGTCTTTCGAACTCATGTCTCAGATCTGAAACCAAGATTTCCGAGTAAGCATCCGCGTGCGCTCTGCCAATGAACCACGCCTTTCCCTATTAAATCACATACAGCAGCAGATTTTAGGATTTTACTAACCAATAATCTCAAGTTTAAACAATAGGTATACTTAAGTTAATGAACATCGACGAGCTGATGAAACTCATTCCATCATAATTGGTGAAAATGACAGAAATTGTGTTTCTGTCACTTTGCTTTAAAGCGGCAATGAAAACAAAAATTAGCATAAAAGAAATTTAAAAATGTACTTTTTAAGAATCAAGCATATAACAGTTCCGAATGCGGAGAACTTGCAAATGATTTAATGTGTTTTTAACGCTACATTTCTATTTGTTTTTTATCAAGCCTATGATGTTCGATCTTCTGAAAACCCCGCTTTGTAGCAATTTGTATTCAAAACATTGCCGGTAAATTTAAAAAAATAAAACTATACTTTTGAAACCACATGACCCAGTTACGCCTTGTTTATATTTTCCGTGAAAAAATTAAAACAACCAATATTTTTTTTTTCTTTTAAAAAAGATTGTTTTAAGTTACATAAACTACTAAATACATCAAATACATCACATATTTAGTCAAGTCTGGCAAAAAATCAAACTTTCAAGTTTTTATAACTATTTTATTTTTATGACATCCTACATGATTTAAAAAAAAATGTAATGGACATGTTGACTACTAGGAGAATATTCTCATTAGTATAGATCAAGCATTAGGTGAATGATAGGTAGGTGGGTGTTTTGGGGTGGGAGTGGTGCGATGCTAGAATGACACGGCATAAATGAACGAAGACGTATGCAAATAAACATGATCAAAATATTGATTTGGGTCCATAATCTACAGATTGCCGAAATTATATAAGCATGAAGAAAGTTGTTTTAATTTGTTGTGTTTTTCATATTTTGCTGAATCTTAGCTACTCGATGAATAAAATCATACTATGGCCAATGTTAAAAATAAAGCGTTTGGTTTTTATGTTAATGGGTTAGGGCTCCTTTATGAAAGATTTCGTTTTCAGTAACATTCTAGGTAATAAAAAAATTCTTTTAATTGCCTGTAGCAATTATATATATTGCTTTATTTACAGACGTTGGTTAAATTCTTCAATGTTATTCTCATCCCTCGAACAGGTGATATTTTCATTAGGTAAACAAGCATCACACTTTTCCTCATTATTAGGACAACTCACATCGCAATTTTCATGTTCATTTGGCGAATCATCGTCACCATTTTCTCTAGGTGATTCAACGTCATCATTCTCATCATCATTAGGTGTAACAACATCATTTTTCAAATCGCCATCACCATGTCTATCATGGTCGTTTTCTAGAGAGGAAAATGTATTCATAGAAACTAACTGCCATTCTTCTTGATTCCAAGATTTATCCCCAACTTCATTGGGTTCATCTCCCGTCATCTTTGCTTCACTAAGAGCATCATCTCCCACGTCGTTCAGCTCGTTCATGTCAAAATGCAACTGGCCAGACGGTTGCTTGTGAACTCCGTTACTGAGTGCTCCTATCTTGACGTCCACTTGGTGAAGGCTCTCGTGTAAGGGAGAGTCTTTGGTCTCTTCTACAAACATCGTCAGCAGTACACACAGACCGGACATTGACCCCATGATGACGTATGATAGGATTACACGGTCTTCCTGAAAGGGTAATTTAATTCAATCTGATTTCTCTCTCCATCTCTCTCTCTCTCACACACTCTCACACACACACACACACACATATATATATATATATGTATATATATATATATATATATATATATATATATATATATATATATATATATATATATATATATATATATATATATATATATATATATATACATATACATATACATATACATATACATATACATATACATATACATATACATATACATATACATATACATATACATATACATATACATATACATATACATATACATATACATATACATATACATATACATATACATATACATATACATATACATATGCATATTATATATATATATATATATATATATATATATATATATATATATATATATATATATATATATATATATATATATATATATATATATATATATATATATATATATATATATATATTCATGTTTAAAAAGAACATTAATGACTAGTTCTGAACACAACTTACAAGATTGACAGCATAAGGTGACAGGATCCCACCAACCCTAGCCAAAGTGTTTGTAACGCCATAAGCTAGAGATCTAAGGCAAGTTGAAATTGAAATACATTAATTACATTTACGATACATAGAGTTAACGGGCCATTAGAAATGTAAGTATCGTGAATCTGCTCCTATAACCTGTAAATGTAAAAGGTCTGTAGAGTTTGCACTTGGCCGGGCCGTCATTAACGGGGTACTTCAAACAGTGCCAGGAGAGTGAACTCGACTGGGCGGATAATAGAGCTTACGATTGCTACCACGAAAGTCTCGAGTCCAGATTCCAGGCCCTAGTTTGTTGGAGTCCACCCAGCTCTAATGGGTACATGACTGACGTTAGCGAAACTAACGCGGGTGGACATAGTGCATTGGGCTGATGACATTATCACCCTGGGCGACGAGGTTACTAAACAAACTCTACTTCATCTGTCTAATGTATATCAATTTCAGATATTATAAACTTTAAGCGCATTTGGTTTATCCGGTCCCTGTAGATTGTAGAAGAATAAACAATAAAATATCAGCTGTTGTTTATTCTTCTAAAATCTACATGGACCGGATAAACCAAATGCGCTTAAAGTTTATAATATCTGAAATTGATATTTACATTTTTTTTTGTTCTACATACCTACATATTTTTCTAAAAAAAAAGTCAACGTGGGGTCGATTTAAACGATCAAGGATAATGTCACATTCATCGTCACGGAGGGTAGGTCTCTGTGACAAAATACGTCACTTCCTGATGACTGGGGTACATGTCACGTGAGAACATACGTCACTTCCTGATGACTGGGGTACATCTCACGTGAGAACATACGCCACCTACCTGATGACCGCAGGTAGATATGACATGACCCCCATACGTCACCTACCTGATAACCGCAGGTAGATATGACATGACCCCCATACGTCACCTACCTGATGACCGCAGGTAGATATGACATGACCCCCATAAGTCACCTACCTGATGACCGCAGGTAGATATGACATGACCCCCATACGTCACCTACCTGATGACCGCAGGTAGATATGACATGACCCCCATACGTCACCTACCTGATGACCGTTGGTTAGATTTGACACGTGACCACATACGTCACCTACCTGATGATCGTTGGTTAGATTTGACACGTGACCACATACATCACCTACCTGATGACCGTGGGGTAAATCTCACCCATCCACACGTTACAACAACCGAAGCTCGCCCCCACACCTAGCTTGGCCACGATACTGAGACCTGTCACAATAAGCGGGGCCTGAAGGGCTGGAGCTGATGAAAAATTGAAAGACATCAGTATAAGTATTAACAGGACTCAGAGGCGTAGCAAGGGGGTGCGGGGGTGCGAACCGCACCCGGTGACACCGGACCTAGCGACGCCACTGGCAGGTCTCAACATATTTAGATCAACATGCATTTCTAAAAACCACCCCAATTCATAAAATTCCCATTATTTACTACTGTGTGTGTGTGAGGGGGGGGGGGGGAAATCAAGTGTCTCATTTAAATGCCATTACTCCCTATAGGGCTGATAAGTAGGTCACCAACCAGTTCTACGACTCAATAAAACCTGCATGAGCCATAGAACTGGTTGTTGACCTACTTACTAGCCCTATTTACGAAACATCCATATGATATGTAAGAACAGTAACTCTGCATATTTATTGCTTTTGATCTTCCTTTTTACGTTTTATATTGTGATTTTTTAAAAGTATTTGCGACGATTAATGTATCTTTTTAAAAAGGTTAAATTATTAAATTTCCATTGGAGATATTTATGCTGGCTAGTTCTGAAAGCAATTGATCGTGGAGATTTGGGGAAAATGAATTATAAACCAGACCAACAGACGATGTTACACAACTAAAAGCGTTAAATCCACCCCTCCCACCCACCATACACACACACACACACACGCACACACACACACAAACAACAGCATCACCTACCCCATGTTCTGGCAGCAAGACAGCCGAAACTAGAGAGACAAGAAATCGACATCAACGATCTGCAAACATTTCCTCGGCCAAACCTGAAAACATTTTTAAAATGTGTATTTCAATACAGGGCCGGCGCTACCTATTAGGCGAACTAGGCGGTCGCCTAGGGCGCCATCCCTTGGGGTCGCAAACGGTTTAATCGCTATTATCAAAAGGTACCTAATAATTAATAACTTTTATAAAGGCATAGCGATCTATTTTGGCACCCAGGACGAACTATCAATTGTGCACCCGCACCCCAAAATTAGGTCTATATAGGCTTATATTTATTCGCGATGGTGAAAATGCAACCCACCTCCCTAAATTGGAAAGGTCAGTGCGCTTTTTACCAGTCACTTTGCCTTTTCAATTTGGTGTCACATAATTAATGTAGAAAACGATTAAATAAGTTCGTAATTTAAATTTCGAACATTTCAAACAAAATATCTAATTTTAATAGGGCTTGTAAGTATCGTTTTTTCTGACTTTGAATTAGAAATTTGTCCTGGTGTATAGAGTTTTGTAATGACGGGGTGTTCAATGTATTGTACTTGTTTGGTAAGTTTTGATGAATCGCTTAGATTTGGGAGTAACGGCGGAAGGCTGTTCTCTGATATGGTTCCATAGGTATAAAGTATCGAAGTGTTAAATTTTCAAAATTGTCATAGTTTTTATTCGTCTGTTTTGTAGATGAAGGTCTAGTGCAGGAGTCGGCAACCTGCGGCTCGCGAGCCGCATGCGGCTCTTTTAATGTCAAGATGCGGCTCTCCAGTTCCATGCACAACTATTAATAATTATTTTATATTATTTTTAAAACTCGTTAAAATTATTATAGAGAAAAAACAACTTCCCAAGTGCCGACTTTTTCAAATATCGTTAAATGATGAATATTATTATGATTCAGAATGCATTTCTTTATCGGCAGTATACATTAATTTGACATGAGTGATGTGTTTTTTCTGGCACTTCCCAGTTAGCTAGCGCGCTGAAATTTTCAGGGAAGCTTTCTTTTGGATGACCATAGAATATTCAATTGTTATTATTACTAAATTTGATCAATGGAAACATTTTATTGAGCATTTTAGACCGCTATATAATCTATATATATAATTCTCCTCTGCGAGCCATTAGAAAAAAAACGAGCGACGCGTAGCTCGCCTCTCTCTTGCCGCGCGCAGTGAAGCGAACGATCCCACGTCGCGACAGGCTTAGGGGCAGATAATTTAGTTTGAACCGACTTTAAACTTACAGGAGGTAACTATTACCACTGGTGGCCAGTTTGGGGGAGACGATATGGTCGAGTGGTTGGGCATACGATTGCTATCCCACTCGACACGGGTTCAAATCTATGTGTTCTAGTCAGTAACCAGCCCTCGTCCTAACCGCTATCAACTAACCTCTGACAATCATTCACTTGCGATTGAGACCGAAGAAGAAAGGGTCTCTCGTTTTTTACGAGTTGTCTTTTTACGAGTTGTCTTCGTTTACCCAAAAAAAAAGTGAAAAGATAAAATCGATAGCAAGATTTCAATGCAAACAAACAGACAAAGACTAAAAAGTAGAAAATAATAATCATAAGCGATGAAAAACGTGGGGCGCCGTGATTTTCTTACAGTTTCTAATACTGTTGACTCTCTACAAGCTCCCTAATAAAAGTCAATAGTATTATCTAATCAATAGTAATATAACTTTTACTTCGGCGCCCCACGTTTTTCATCGCTTATAGTAGAGTGATCGCTTGCATTATTGTGATGTATAGTATTTATTTTCTACTTTTTAGTTCAATCAGAAAACGTTTGTTTTTTAAAACTTTTTAATGATTATTATTAAAGTAATTAGCTTCCTACGGTTGAGATAGTCGTATAGGTATATTATTTGATTACTAATTTTATTATTGGAGAGCTAGGTATAATACTTTAATATGTTGTGTGCGAAATATTAGTATACTTAAGTATATATATATTCTTTCATATTTAAGGCTATTTATTTCAAATCAAAATTCAAAAGTCTAGATCTAATGCTAATCAAATGCCAAAATATTGAAATAAAAATTTTAGTGGCTCTTTAAAAAATGGGAATTTATGTAAATTGTAACTTTTGGCTCTTCCGGCTCGAAAGGTTGCTGACCTCTGGTCTAGTGGAATCTGATTGGTAATAGAGAAATGAGAATGCAGGTGATGAAGTATGTAGTTTTAGAGTTTGGAAGTATTCATTCTTGTGGTATTAAGGTATCGAATTATATTGACTCTTAAAGTGTAGTAGTAGCAGAGTTTCTTCCAGGCATCTCTTCGGGGGGGGGGGGGGGGAGGGGGGGCAAAGCCCCCCCCCCCCCGAACAAAATTCTACCGCCCCTCCCCCGAACAAAATGAAATTTATATAATTTATATAGAAAATATATACTTTTAACAGTGTCCGCCCCCCCGAAGAAAGTCTACTGCCCCCCCCCCCCCGGAAGATTTCAAGTGCCCCCCCCCCCCCCCCGGAGAAAAAAATCTGGAAGAAGCGCGCTGAGTAGTCGGTCCAGTGAAATCGTTGTTGATTGGGAGTACCGTTTGTAGAGTTTGGTGTCGTAGTTCTGGAGCATCGTGTCTAGTTATGTTTAAGTATCGAAGCTTGATATGTGTTGTGAATGTACCAGAGTATATTGAGTAGTAGAGTTTATCGATGATTTCAATTCAGTATGGAACACACTACAAGGAAAGGTTGGCATCCTCTAGCTGAAAAATCTTTAGTTTTTAGGAAACTATATTACCTCTCTGAAAGTATTAATATATAATATTAAAAAGTATGGAATTTATAACTTACCGTAAATTTTTTTTTCAAGTTATAATACTCTTATATTTAATCAATAATTCTAGCATTGTCTAAAACCCTGTTTGATTTTTGAAAGGCGTCCCTTAGTTTAGGGATCCAAAATTTTTGGTAGTGAATTATAATGGTATGTACAAATAAGTGAATGTCATCAAAATTAAATAGAAGTATGTTATGATAAAGATACCGTCTTTAGATTATTTGCAAACAAAATCAACAATTAAATATTCAATAAATAGAAGATATTGTTTTGGCAATCTTACATAGCTCATACAAACAATTTGTTATAATCATTTTGTATGGAAATTTAAAGAGTTTTATTAGATTTTTAAAGCATGTCTTAGTTACACATGGTTAATTTAGCTATTCGTGTGAAAGTTATTTCCCTGGAATAAAATTTTAATCTTTGGATTTTTAAATGGGAGATAATTAGTTGTCTAACTTACATTCATTTCAAATTCCTGCACCCTAGGTTGACCGCTTACATATAAATACACCTTAAGTTATTATTTGCTATTGTAAAAATTATATAGAGCTTAAGTTCTAGGTAGTTTTTGTTTAGCATTATCAAGTTGAAAAACAAATGCATCAGTAGCCGTTGTATATTGCAATACTTAATGTTAGTAGACATACAGTCTTAGTCGTAAATTAAACATCTAAAGCATTGTCGTTTCATATTTTTCACCCTCTCCCAAAGGATTCATATATAACAATTTTAGGCTGGAATCTATAATATTTATACCTTTTATTTTTTTAAAATCGTTACATAATCACACAATATAGACATTGTACAATTATAACTAAAGACAGTCCAGTTTAATTTCTTATACATATGTTTTATAAGTAATTAATTTGTGTGAAAGGGGGCGTTTTAGTAAGTTTTGCCTAGGGCGTTAAATAACCTGGCGCCGGCACTGATTCAATATCTAATGTTTCATTTCTCACTGAGTCCCTGATGTCTGCAAATATTTTCCTTTAATAACCAG